TTAATCAAATATCTACAATAAACGTCACCTTCCCTCCTTCTACGCGTAATCGACGCCACCGTTACGCGGGCTGCTCCTCTCTGCCGTCTACATCACATAGGAGGGGGCAATCTGTAGCAGCCAAGAGACCACGAAGACGACGAGTGCAAAAAGTGACTGGAGCCCGTGGAAGAGAAGAAAGCTCGCGCGAGATTTCCACGGCGGCTGTCAACTGGAAAGTGCACCTATTTACTCAGAATTAAATCATTGCGTAAGCTGATGATTGATTCTTTTGTATATAAAAAAATCGGGAAAAAGTGTTGTTTTTCTTTTTTTTTATGGATAGGATTAGTATGATATATTTTGTAGAAAGAAGACAGACGAGAGCATTTATGGCTCAACAAAATAAGTAAAGAGAGGTTAGCTGTCATACGCTGTACTATGATGGTTGCGGATACAGCGTCCCGTATTTTCCGGACTGCAGTGAGCACCTGACGCATAGTCCCCAATGGCAAATTTGGGGTCAAAAATAAAAGATTTTGCTAAGATAGTCTGCACCCCGTGCATGGTCCGTACGCCGTGTATAGTCCTCACTTAGTGCCCAGTCCAAAGGTAAAAATGATCGTACAGAACACATTTTGACAAACGCCTGCTCTATCATAGCTCACATAAAAGCTTGTATCCTACATAAATCAACATTACTATACTCCGTTATGCATAAAATCCTTCCCGTCTTATCACAGCGAACGATCTAGAAAAAAAAACAAATCTTGTATAGTTCGCACATATGGGTAGTCAGCATCGGGTAAAAATTAAACTTTTAAACATGTATAGTCCGCGGACTCAGGAATATACGGTGGTGTGGGACCGAAGTGGCTCGTATGAGGCGTGTGGTGTAGATCGCGTTAGGTGTTGACACCGGCGCATCGCCAGTAGGGTCAGTATGGTTGTGGCTGTGCGAGTGCACAGCGTGCAGGCTGTGCAGTCCGCCCGTGCCGCCGCACGTGCGGACTGCAGCGGCTTTCCGCTGCCCTTTCGACTGCAGCGCCGCCAGAGTTGTCTACACGCGCAGCTTCACAAGTTCCCGTATTCGAGTCGCGCCGTTCCAAGCAACACGCCGTATTTGTAGTACACTGTATCTGCGGAGTATAAAATGAGCGCTACGAGTCTACAGTGACTCAAGGTTATAGGTGCGTGTTGTTTGACCAGGATCCCCGATTACAGGAACATCTCTCATTTTCTGCAGACAATAAATTTTAACAATGAGCGTTTAAGAGGGACAAGAGCTAAAAGAGAGCTACGTCTTATGTAGCCTAACAGAATTAGCTCTAGCAAGAATGTAATCAATGGGGGCTTTCCATGATAGGTTTAGAAGCAGACACCATGATATTTATTGAACGTCGCAAAAAGCAAATGAATGTCACCGGGGTAGTAAGTGGAAGGGAATGTCTTACCACGTGAAACTCCCATTGCTTGGCGCTTGTTAGTTTGAAGGGTCATGTGCCATTGTCTGCACAAATCAGATACAACATTCAAGTCGTTTGAAAAAAGGAGAACATCGGAATTACTAGTAATTTCCCGATAACTCACGCAATCTCCCACAAATAGACTAAGGCATGGCGAAACATACGAAGCACATTTACGTTAATATAAAAGAGAAATAGTATAGGCCCTACGACAGGTCTCGCAGGGGAGATAAAATCATTTAAATTAAAAACTGAGAGAGATTTGTTCGAAAACGCTTAATCCAAGTTATTGCATTATTATGAAGGCTGAGTTTACTTGCTTCAGGAGCTTCATGTTCTGTGAAACTTTATCAGAAGCTTTGCAGAAGTCGAGAAAAGTATATTCAACATGGAATTCGTTGTCATGAACGAAAAAAAAAATCCTTGGTAAAAAACGAAAAGTTACGTTTCAGAGGAGGGATATTTATAAAAAACACGTGAACAAAACAAAACGAGTTGGAGTCAAGAAATTGAACAAGGTCAGAATAGATGATATGCTCTATAGTATGGGCCCTTACAGGGCGTTCGAATCAAGGAAATATGTCTATAATTGTTGGGAGAGTGCTTGTTGCCTGATTTGTATTGTAAAACAATCTTGCGAATTTTCCAGTCCTCTGGAACTGCGCCACTTACTAGATACTGCTGAAATATGTTATAAACAAAAAAGTGGGCTATTTATTATAGTGCTTTTAAGAAATTTAGTAATAATATGATCAATACTTCTTGACGAAGGAACTGTGGGATTGTCATTCAGCTTGACATTTCCATGAAATTATAAAGCAACTGGATCCGTGAGAAAGAAAAAACAGCACAAGAATAAATGTCCCGAGCAAACGTTTTCACAAATATATTACTAAGCATTTTCGCACAGTCATGGTTGAGGACAGCAGTATCATTTAAGCCAAAAAAAATCATGATCCATTCCACTCTGTGTAGGAGGATGACCAGCGAAGCTGTTTAGAACACGACACACACGTGACACATAATTTTCAGCAAAGGAACGAACACATTTATTGTCTTGATCGGTTGTCATCGTGACGAAAGGCACGCACACACATGTATCTTGTCTTTAACGGTGGTCATTATTTCGCGTGGACGACTATCGCCGCCGCTTGGAGCCGGAGGAAGCTAGACACGCGCGACGGGACCGTCACCCGGCTGCTCACGCCGCACATGCCGGCGTCTGCAGCAGCACAGCCTCCTCTAAATAGGGAGCATTCACTGGCGGCCATATCCGTGTGCGCTGCTGCTGAGCGCGTGCTGACGGCGAGCTTCCGCAGTCCTCTTGGATAAAGCCCCTCGATATGTTTGCGTTTGTCGTGCAAGTAGCGTCAAATGCGCGAGTGCACGAGACCCGCATCTCGAGCGGCCCTTGGAAGCGAATGGCGGCGCAGCACTGAAATGAGCGGTCCTAGGAAGCGAATGGCGGAGGAGCACCCGCTTGTGGCACGTGTCTCGCGCAGTTCCCCAACAATGGTTGGCGGTACTTGTAAAAAACGCCTTTATTAAGGGGCTTTACTTTTGGAGCCTGCATTTAGCACCATCAAGGTTGCCGGTCTTAGCAGCCTATTAACGTGAGCTCGTTCTGAGCATGCGCTCTAAACATCGCCCTCAAATATGGCGTCCAGTGAATACCTCCTATACACCAACTCATGTTTACAAACAAACCGGAGCGCCCCTAGCGGACGCCACCGGCGCCGCGCATGCGCGATGGGGGTGCGTGCAAGAAGCCCGCCGTCGCCCATAAACAAACCATTGAAATACGATGTTGTCGGCGTCGGTGTGAGTCCCCCTGCTTTTTTTCGCGTTCGAATTGTTGATTCTACGTCTTCCTGGCGATGTCTGACTACTTGAGCGGCGTCAGCGAAATTACCGAGGCTCGTTACACCGCGAAACTTCGCGTGAATAATGTGACATGTGGCGATTCATTCCGCGTGGACGCTAAAACCTGATTCGCATGATGAGATTTCACTCGCAATTTTCAGTCGCGACGCCGCTCGGGCTGCAAAAGCATGAACCGTAGCTGAGATAGTCGACGTCGGTACTGAAAATCGCAAGCAGAATCGGACCAAGTCAAATAGGCATAGCAAGTCAGTGATGGTCACTCGTAACAAGGATCAACATCTGCTTGTATTTACTGTTTACATCGAGCCTGGTTACCAACCTTCAAACTTAAGCCTTTTGAGACCTGTGCTTACTTCGTATAGACGACAAGCAGAAACGTTTGAAAGAGCAGACGACAGTTCGAACGATCAGGCGACCGTTTGAATTGAAGACGCACTGAACGTAGTCCGCAGGTGGTCCGCACAACTTGATGGTTTTCTGGCGTTCATGTTGGAATAAAACAAATAAATCTGATGACCACAATATCCGTGAATTTAACTCAAAGTGCTTCCCGCCCAAGCAATCGTTGTCCGACGGCGTCTGCTTTTCCCTTTTCACGGCACATATCCAGATTCTCGGACGAACCGAGCACGTGAAAACTGACCTTCAAACGTTTCTCGTCTCTTTTGGTATGGCCCCAGTCCCGGCGTTTTGACGAGAAGGCAGGTTTTTGGCTAGTTCCCTTCAAAACAACGCAGGAATACACGTCTGGCATGGGGACTTCTGCCCACAGCCCCAGACCGGAAGTGCGACCGACGCGCCACCACCGCGCCGTGACGTCACAGAGATGAGTTGGTGTATAGGAAGCTGTGCTAAAACAAAAGGCATCTCGCAGGCGCGTTCGTCTACGTTTTTTTTTTTTTTTTTTTGGTTATTTACTTCAAATGGTTTTATACGGGGAAGGCGTGCGCGTGCGGCGCTGCGAGCGTCGAGCTTTTGTTGACGCGCATAAAAAATCCACGGAACCCTAGCCGTAAACAGCTTCGCTGTAAAATTTAATTAGCCTCTTCCTTACTGCCATTCACGACACTCCAAAGCTTTTAAAGATTGGGTGACAACAATGCAAGTAGAGTTTGGGGTTTCGCGCGCCGTTTCATATATTGCTTAAACGTGAACAAATTCGCCAACATAGCAACTCAAAAAAAAAAAGTTGTTTCGCGTATTGGATTTTTTTTCTGGTTTTTATAGCAAGCGGCAGCATTTCTGTAAGCTGTCCAGCGCTCAGCAGTGTCCGTGCACTTCGCAATGCGAAAAGGGGGTTTTATTTTATTTGAAAGCCAATTTAAAGCTACTTTAAATCATGGTGATGCAGACGTTAGCGGGATAATATTAAATGTCACCCTACGCCATCCAACAGCCCCTCAGTCCTCGTTCTGCATACCCATAAGATGAAGCGATTATTTTATAAGCGGGTTTTAAAATAGCAGACCCAAAAGATTTGCGTGCGGAAAGAAATACCCTCGCCGTCATGAGCTCATCCACAACGCCGGTTGGGCTCGGCGTATGGGCAGTGATGACATCAATATTTTTTTTTCGTACTCAAAGGTTCCGTCTATGGCATTCTTAAACTCGTTAGTATAAAGCATACCGCACATTTTTAACCTCTGTTTCGATTTTCTGCTGTTTGTGCAGGTACATCAAGATGTCTAGTCCGTACCTGAACAACCTCATCATCGTTGGCTGCATCCTCACCTACACCAGCGTCATCCTACTGGGCATGGACTCCGGCTTCACATCCGTCACAAACTTTCCATACATCTGCGCGGTGAGAGCTCAACTTTGCCTCTATTTTTCTCTTCGTTGGTCTTCCGCGCCAAACAAACGAAGGACATCAGGGCACCTCCCACGGAAGACTGAGGTTTAATTTCGACCCCCAGGGCCGGCTCAAATATGAAAATCCCAAGTGAAGTCTGAGGCAGAGGTCGCGATCGGTGGGAACGCCCCTAAGGGCGCCTAAGTTAGTCCAGTAGCGTCTTTTGGTTTGGTTACTTTTACGCAACGTTGTTAAAACACTCAGTTGGGAAACTCATTCTGGAAGCCCGGACCGCTCGCGTCCACCAAGACCGCACTACAGGGTGTTTTTTTTTTTTTTTTTTTTCATTTAGATTTGTTTAAAAAAAGCCGTGAAAGCTAGACTTGTGCGGTTTGTGCAGGTGAGTTTTACGGCTAGGGGGACATAGTATAGGGAGATAGTCGCACCTATTAGTCGGCTAATTGAATCGAACTTGTGAATGTACTTTTTAATCATTACAAATAGGCTTATAGTTCTAATTAGGAACTTGCTGAGCATCATCGAAAACCACTAAATCAGCTGTTTTCAGACGGATATAATGCCGGGGCAGCATTTTACCGCGTTCTGAAAAAAACGCTTCATTTAGACGCGTTCCTAGATTGCGGTTTCTTATCGGAGCACATCACCGCGCCCGCGGTCCTGCTCCCCAGCGGCTGAGACGCGCAACACACGTGCGCCCTTCTTCCCCCCATTCTACGAGGCAGGCGAGGGGGTGGCTTCGCACCACGACCATTTGGGAGTAGGAGCGCGGGCGCAAAGGTCCGTTCCGATAAGAAATCAAAACCTAGAAACGCGCCTCAGCACGCTTGCCTACGTTGCACGCGAACACTAAATGTGAAATAAAAATAAGAATTACAAAGAGCTATTGTATTGGGTATTTTCACAACACGTCAATCCGCCATTTTGTTGTTAGATGTACGCGTGATGAGCGCGTCTGTGCATTACCAACTTGAGGGTGTGAAGTGGGTCATCGGAGTACTCGCCTTCTGCACGTGGCAGACTGCTCATAACAACAAAATGGCGGACGAAATGACGTCGGTGAAAACACCCTATAGCGTTTTGAAAAAACGCTAAATGTGGTGCACTCTGCATGTTGATCTCTGTTTTCACCTTATTAGGGTTGGTGAGCAGACACTAAAAGATGTTTATACACAATTTATATGTTTACACAATCATAGCCCTGGCTGCTATGTTTTTCGTTGTTTCATAGAGTGAGCAAAGCACCCTTCATACGCAAAAACACTGAAGGCCGCACCGGCCAGAAGTACTTTGTTTATAAAATGCAAAGCTATTAATATCACACTGCTCAGCATGCAATCTTCACAGCCCAGTATGTACGTGTTCATTTATTCTGAAAGCGAGCAAAGCACGGGCCGTACGAACAACCGCTAAAAATGGCAAAACGGACAGAAGCTCTTTTCTACCTACGACCGTGACTCGTGCTTATAATCTCACGCCACATATTACGGGCTCGCCTCTAAAGGCTGAACTCAGTGGAGTGGAATACGCAGTGAACTGCGTATTCGTCGGAAACTAAATTCCATGAGGCAAACTAGCAATGAACGCCGCCAAAGCCAATACATAATGACACGGCGTCAATTGCTTGAACGACTTCATGTGTACCATAGCCTCCTCTATACTCACAAAGCCTGGCAGTTCGATGCCGGAGCGATAGAGTGCCCGGTCGCAGATTTGGAGCGCGAGGATCTGGTGGCACACAGCATTTCTAGGGGAGTCTGGTATTCAGCGCGCAGCTTTTGCAGCGGCGAGGACCCGAAACATAGTTTTCAAACCCGACGAGAAAAAAAGCGGATAGCCCAAGGAACGCGAGAAGCACGAGCGGACATTCCATCGCTCGGTACAAGTGTGTTTCGGCGTCTCGCCGCAGCGGGGCGCCCTTTACATGACTTTAGTCTGCCACTCTACCTTTTCACTTTCGGCGGCCGCGTCACGTGACCATCTGCCAGGCTTTGTCAGTATAGGGGAGCCTATGTCCGTATACAAATGACGCACTTGCAATCGCTCAAAAGCCGAGTGCGCTACCAACACTGAACATCAGCAAATAGGCTGTTTGGCTGTTTACAAAATACATTTTAATGGTTCGAACGTCGTTCCAACTTTGGAGCCAGCCGGAATTCAGAGCCATTTGTTTGACTATATTCCTCGTGACCGCCCCGGCCGTGTCGGTAGTGGGGGACGCCGGGCAGACGAAGTCTAGCTCGCCTAGATCGGCGGCAAACCGACCGTGGACGGAGCTCACCCCGGGCTCCCGACCTGCATGCGCAGCTGGGAGCATGAACTCGTTTGTTTTGGAAATGTTCTGCGCCATCTACGAGGAAAAGACTAGAAATAATACCGCGGGTGAATCCCCTTTAAGGGGCCATGAAACGAATTTTGGGTTGGGATGAATGATTTTAAATTGGGACTTTACTAATCTCATATAGTTTAGTTGGCCAAAAGAAAGAGGCTAGAAAGTCAAAAGCCAGCTTTTCGTTACGAACATTTGGAAATATAGCGAACTATTTTGTACCTTCTTTCCTTCGAAAGCTCTCCGCCTTTTCACTCTGATACCTCCGCGGTTCCAAAAGCGCGTCACCGGCGCCAATCTGACGTCAGCAGAGCCCAGCTCACGCATTGGACACGAGAACTGCGTCACTCTGACGTATGCGCTCGTCAACAATCAATCCGTCGACGAATATTTGGATTCGCGTTCGTGGCCAATGAGTGCCCTGACGGAACTTATTGTCACTGTGGAATGACAAGTTCTATGGTGTGCATAAAAAGCACAGTGGAATCTAGGAGTCATCGCACCGGCGCCGAAGGAATGTCACGACCACGTGATTTCACAATTCGCATTTGAGTTGGGGATTAAAGCTAAGGAGGAAGAAGTAGGAAAATCGTTTCATGACCCTTTTAAGAACTTTAAAAGCAATTCCCACACTTGCGTTGAGTCCGACCTAGCGCGAGGGTTGCTATGGCAGCAGCTGCGTCGGCTCCAACAAAGCGGGGTAAAACCGGATTTGTTGAAACTGTCACAACTGTTGCCAGCCCTCCCACTCGGTAGGGCTCAGTGCAAACATTAGAATAGCACCCTTTCAGCGCTGTTCACACACTTGCAAATGAGTAGGACCGAGAGAGACACGACCGGTTTGTAAGCTTCTTACGACCGGATGCGCTGTGGCGGAGCAAGTCGTAAGCCGTCTCAAGAGGCTTAAAAACCGGCCTTGTCTCACTCGGTCCTACTTGTTTGCAAGTGCGTGAACGGCGCTTAAAGGGCGATGCACAGTCTTGCAACCGAGTAAGACTGAGAGAGACAAGACCGATTTTAAAGCTTCTTGCGACGGCTTAGGCCCGCTTCAGACGAGGCAACTTTTCCAGCAATTTTGAGGTTGCTGGCGGGTTGTTCTCTAGCTTTCCCTAGATCGACGCGAATTGCTGAGATCGGGTTCGGCTCGAACAAGCGAGTAACTCGGAGCAATTCGAAGACGGTTGAAGCGGCTGCAGCCAATCAGAGACGCGATATTTTCAGGTGACACCCTTGTGGTGGTGATGATGACAGCTAAAGACTTAGTTCTGGTTTGAAATGGATCGTTTTTGGAAATAAACGCCGTTCAAAGATTTAAGAACACGTTTTTAGCGCGTAGCTGTGCGTCTATATAGTGCAGAAAAAAAATCAGATTTAATGATGATAATGGCAAGTCGGAGCAATTCGGTTGCTGCGTGTGAACGCGGGCGGCCCGTGTTGCTGGTGTTGCGACGTCAAGTTGCAGGGCGAAATTGCCCCGTCTGAAGCGGGCCTTAAAAACTGCTTCGCAGCAGCTCATCTAGTTTTACACCGTTGCAAGAGGCTTAAAAAGCGGTCTTTTCTCTCTCGGTCTTACTCTGTTGCACGTGTGTGAACGGGCCTTTATGTTCCATGTTTCATCACCCTCACTGGCCCTGTCTGAAAGAGAGAAAGAGAGAGAGACGAGGTCCTTACACATGGAACTCTCCGGTTCGGCAGAGTGACCTTCGAGGGCAACCGGTTCCGAAACTGTCGGCGCACCTTCTCTTTCTCTCCAGACTTGTTCCCTTTTCCTTCGCCCCTCTTCCTAGATGTGCCAGTCTGTGTTTAGTACTCATTTAGTTTTATTATTCCCACTATATGAAAAAAACTCACTAAGGCTTTTTTTTTTTTAAAGTGCGAGGGCTTTGTGGGAAACTAGACGCTCCAAATTTCTTGGATTGTTGGACGCCGTGACGTCACCAATGGAAACCAAAATTCGTGGCCCACCATAACTGTAGCACAGTATCACGAGTGAATTAATAAATAGATAAATAAAATATTTTCTATTAGAGTATGTGCATGTACTACCTCGGACAATATCGACTGAAACAGCTCTGTATGCATCTTTGGCTTACCTGCTAGTTTTTCAAAAAGCTTAGGTCTCAGTCTTTGAACTATTACGACTTAAGAGAAATCAAAGTTTGTGAAACGTTTAGGCCTAGTACAACTTTCGATCGAGCGTTTTAGCTTATATTGTCCCGGGGGTGTTCAGGTTATAGAAATGCCATTTGGGCCCATAGCCAATTCGGCCAGTTTGGGCCCATTTTACTAAAACATTAGAATAGCACCCTGCACGGTTGCCGACAACCTACAGGAACTTCACTAAAATTGAATCGATCGAGTTTGTCGCCATAAAGGGCGAATTTCGATCGGAAAAGATGAGATAATCTACTCTTTAAAAAAAGAAAAAAGCCTTTCGTCGCTTTCTTTTTTACATTGGTTTAGGTTGGTTCATGCCCCAAGTAATAAAGTTTCTGGCTTTCCCGCCTCTTTATTTATTTGTTTCGGAATAAGGAGGTTATTTTTAGATGGCGGCTCGGCGCCTGCTGACGTCGCAGTGGTGATTGGTGGGCTTTAGGGAGGAGATCGCCTTAATCTAGTGTCTCGCTTTTATCGGGAAGCTGGATGAAACTGGGAAAAAAAAGTG